ACCTCTGCCTCTTCAAACCATCATAACAAAATCGAGTCTTGTCTGATATCCATTCTTCATTTATGTCCTGCAAGAGGTGGTAAGGAAATACATTATAGAAAGAAAAGAAAAGAAAAAATTTAAGGTGAAGGATAACACCCAAATACTTTGAATTTCAGTGTCTTGATATATGGTACAAGTGCACCCAAGTAGATTGGCAAATTTCATGATGTGCATGTCCTTAAACACTGACTTCCAAATAGGAAGTCGCATGCCGTTAATGAAGAAATCAACAATATGGGTTCACTTGCAAACTTAACTAGCATCAAGACTAAAGGCAAAATCAAAAGAAAATATATGGAGCCATGAGAGTTAAGATACACTCGGGACAACTGAGACAGATCAAACATGACAGGTTCAGGTGTTCAAGGTTAATAATAAGAGACCAAACTAGGACAAGTTTCTTGACTCAGACTCAAGAGTAGATTGTGACTAAAGGTTTCGGATAGTCCAAACATTGCCCCTAAGAATTACTAAAATTCGAGTAGATTTAGTCAGAAGAGTACATAAGTCATGGCTGACAAGTGGGCCGGTCAATAAGAGTCAGGTCAATTGACCGAACCACAAAAAAAGTTGATTACAATCTGAAATCGCCAATAGTCCAAAGACAATATTATGGTTGGTCTCAGCCATTTGCATGCAGCCCATATTGGAGTCCCCAAACAAGTTGACGCCCCTTTATCAGATGTTTATCCTTCATTTTTCACCTTCTCTCTCACCCTTCAAAACAACTGCGAACCTCTAAGGCCCAACCATTCCATTGAACCTCACATCTAGACTGTCCCCATCCTCTTGTAGCAACCACTGTTTTATGGTCATGTTTCATGGTGACGATGGGAAGAGGGTGAGGTTTGACTTGTGTCAATTTGCAGAAAGGAAAAAGAAAAAAAAAGTACTACTTGTAGATGGTGTTAGTATTGTGGTGCCCACATCCACATGGCTTAATTTTATGGAATACCTAAGTCTTTCCCCTCAGGCCCCAGCCACTCCGTTGAATTTCAAATCTAGACACCACTGATCCTCTTCCATCAAATCCTGTTTTATGGTCAGATTTCATGGTGCCATGCACTTGATTCATACTGATGGATAAGGGAAGCAAGTGAGGTTTTACTTTTCAATTTTTGGATTAAAAAAAAATTGACTATTAACATGGCGTTAGTGCTGTGTGCCCATGTCCATGTGGCCTCTTTTTTTGGAAAACTGGATGTGCAAGACCTATGAAATGTGGATGGTTGTTCTTGCATTTATGGATACACATGTTAGGTTCGCAAGGTCCATCATGATAGAAACTAACCTGTAACTGTTTAGTTGTATCACACTTTGTTGGGAACGACTATACTATGATGGGGCCTTTTGTATCTTTAATCATGACCATGCAAAATAACGTTTTTTTGTGACAGAATGTTGTAGTTATGCAGTGGCATTTTCTAAGCAGCAAATAAAAGAAACTATTAATGATTTATTAGGAATTCTCTGACCTGTTTAATCTTCTCAGCTACCTTTGGCACTAGAGGAAATCAATATCCGACAAATTAACAAAGACTAATGTCAGCCAGTAACTTTAATGCCAAAAAAATGTTAGTGCATGTTGGTTTTTATGTATAAGAATCTTTTCTTTGTTCTTTGTTCGTATTTTTTCGTTGTGCAATAAAATTGTCCCTTTTCCCAAAAGAAAAAAAAAAGTATTGCATATAATTGTATTGTGAAAACAAAATAACTCGTCCAAAAGATAATGCACATCAAAATAGTCCAATAAAAAATTACCTCATTTAACCGTGGAACGATGCGCAGGACTTCTGGACCTCGGCTATCAATTCGAATGTTCGACCCAACAGCATCAGTAACATCAATGGTCTCTGTTCCCTTCAATTCCCAATTTCGAGCTTTAAATGCAAATGGTTTTGAGGTTAGAGCTCCCACTGGACAGATATCTATCACATTTCCCGAAAGTTCACTAGTCATAAGTTTTTCAACGTAAGTCCCAATTTCCTCTCCGCTGCCACGGCCTAACATGCCAAGGTCCTGAACCCCAGCAACCTCTGTTGCAAATCTGACACACCTGTTCAATCAAAAGTGCTCTTTATATCAGAAGCTTGCAACTATGGTTAAATAAAAGTGCGCCTTAAAGTGTAGTTGAAGCAGTGACCACAAGATAAGAAAGAAACAAAAGCAAACATCCTGAACAACCCCTAGAAGACTTAAGATAACTTAATACTACAGGTGTGATAATAGAAATAAGATGTTAGAGACACTGTACTGCTAACTTGATAATACATTATATCATGGATATGCATCCAAACTTGGCTCAACAGCTTTATAAAGAGCAGAACCATGACAAACCGCAAGTTAAGTAAAAACGAATTTGAAATGAACTATACAAAGATTCCGATAACTAGGCATTTCAACATTACATAACATTCTAGGTTTAAGACAGCCTCATTTCCTGTTTCAAATGCTAAGTACATATAGAATACTGAAAGATAACTCAAATATGCTTAAGGCCAATTAGGTTCTTATGGTTTCTAGAAGAGTTGATCTGGAGAAGATCACTACTATACACAACTTGGTGCTAAAGTGTAGATGAATAGGATTGAAATAATTGGTCCGTCAACATCCACATGTCACTCACATCACAACATATCAAAAAACTGCCTTGTCGATGATAGTTAGTAAGATATGGCATTATGTGGCTACAAGAATCCACGATCTATGCAAACAACAAAATTATCTTACACATTCATGGGAGCAATTAAAAGCAAGAAATCCAAATGCGAAAATAGGTACCAACTCACAGAAAATCATAATCTTCTTCAATTGGAATACCAGTCATGAAATTTCAGCATTGACAGCGTCATTATCACAGGAAAATTTGATGATTAAACTTATAAGATAACCCCATTGAGGGAAATTATTCTCACGTCTAATGCAGCAGAAAAACCGAGAAACAATTTGATGATTAAACTTAACCCTATAAATTATATTATGTACATTTTGTTAATTTGAAAACTTATGATACCTAGAAGACAGATCATCATGCTACATGGATTTGGCAAGACAATTTCATAACTCACTGTAGAATGTAATAACTAGGGTTAGACTGACAACTTTCAAATATGGCATACTTCTACATGTTAAAATGCTACAGCATCACAAAAAAAATGTTCTCTCCAACCGAAAAAAAAAAAAAAATTCAATCAATCAATGTTAGTTTATCATGCTTCGTAATTGAATTCCTAATCAATTAAAAATGTTAGAAAAGAAAAAGTTAATTACAGCGTCATCTATCCAGTATTACAATCCACTAGGACTGTGGTGAATAAGTGGGTATGAGAGGTAATGTTAGATTCTGACCTTGTACATTGAATACAACGAGTCATCACAGTCTTCACCAAAGGACCAAGATTCTTATCCACTACGGATCTCTTCATTTCAGTGAAACGGCCGCGATCAGATCCAAAGGCCATAGACTGATCCTGCAGATCACACTCTCCACCCTGATCACAAATTGGACAATCCAATGGATGATTCATCAGCAAAAACTCCATCACCCCTTCTCGAGCCTTCTTGGCTATTGGAGTATCAGTCTTAATTTTCATGCCTAAAAAGAAATTTTGTCAAGAAAACTGCAACTTTCAGCAAACATATATGAGGTCTACTGCGACCAAAAAATACCCCATCTTCAAACCATTGCATTGGTCAATTATTAAAAACTCAAATCAGAATAAAAGAGGTTACAATAGAATCTAATAATCAGAGGCTCATAAAATCGTTCTCTACAGAACATCCGCGTCTTAAATATAATCACAATCCATATTAATATTTAGCAAAAATGTAAAAGAATCTACGTCCAAGAGAAAAAAACTAATACATACGCATCCTCCCAATAGTCACATTAAGATCATACACGAATGAGATTAGAAATTTGACAAGGAGGAAACTTTTCATAAACCATACGATACAGCTTAGAGGCCTTAATCATGCTCCATAAAAATCGAAATATACCCAAATAGTAGAGCCAAAACGGGGAGTGGAGAAAATCCAAATATGGAACTTTCAAAAGCAATGAACAGCTAACCAAAAAACTGGAAATGGAGAATAGGCGGGCCCCGCCCACGGGGGTGCGGGGAGGAAGATCGGCGGCGGGCTCGGGCTGGGCCGCGGAGGCGGATTGGTCGGCGTTCTGGAGCTCCGGAGTGGTTGAGACCGCTCTGTGGAAAGAGAAGAAGGGTCTAGGGTTTTGGGAGCTGAGGAGCCTTGACGCTGTGGGCCGCATGGCCCTCGAAGCAAGCGATCCCAACCCCATTTCTGTCGACAATAGCTCGCTATCACAATGTGTATGATTTTTGTTGTTTTCAGAGGTCTAGAGATTCGAGCTCTGTGAGCTACGAAGAAGACTGATAGAAACGGAAGATGTGGTTGTTGCGTTGCGACGTTGGAAATGAAAGCTCTTCCCAAAATAAAACAAGTGTCGTCGGATCAGTGGAGTGGGTCTGAAAGCCCACATTGAGGCCCAGTAGTATTCTAGAGCCCAACTTACTCACTTCACTTTTTTCTCCCTTCTCCGCGCGGACAACACATGCTCTTTATCTTTGTGGGGAATTAGACATGCTCTCGCTTATAAATTTGACTAGTATCAGAATTCCGTTTGGTATGAAGAGTAGCTGGTCCTGAGCCAAGTTTGATGCCCCTAATTTCAATACCCACCCACCTAGTTGTAGTGCCTCTATGGGTATAAAAGGAAACCGTTGGATAAAAACGATATTGAGGAAGGTAGAATCGAGTATGAGATGTTGAATGTAGGGTTAAATGCTTTTATAAAAATAATATCAATGAAGGGAAAATCGAATATAAAACATTAAATATTAAGCTAAATATTCTTAACTACTTAAGTTACAAATGCCTTATACGGTTCTTTTTGTTTGATAAAAACAAGTAACCACTAACGGGAAAAACAAAAATAGTTTCCAGGAAGCTTTGATTGGTTTTTTGGTTGATAGAGTCTTTAAAATTGACGCCAAAATAACGGGAAAAAAAGGACCAACCCGACCCGTTCCACCTCAGGGTCAGAGGGGGAGAGAGAGAGAGGTTAGACGGAAATCATTTGGTTGCTTGCAGTCGACGATGGTCTAGGGTTCTGGTAAGCAAGAGCAGGAGGTCAGCTGCAGAAGCACCATGGCCATGAAATTCCTTCAACTGCTTTTCCTTTTCAGTTTTCAGCTTCGTCTCTCATTCTCTGGTGAGCGGTCTTTCTTCCATTTCTCGCTCTCTATCTGCAATTACTTCAATCTCTTTCCACTTTACGCAACTTTTTCTGGTTGTGATCGATTTTGATTATTACTATATGTCTGGTTGCTAAGAAACTCAATGAGTGAAAATGGAAACCTTGTTTGTTATATGCTGTTCTCAACTTTGTTGTTTTCCTACTTTTCTCACCTTTCACATGAGTCATTTGCTTCCAATTTGCATAATATCTATCTTGCCAATTTGAGCACATATCTAATTCTCATCTGGAATGCCACTGCGGTTTGTAGCTGCTGAGTTTCTGATCTTATTCATTGTGTTATCTTGGAGTATAGTATCAGTATGAAGTGGTTCTTTTTATTACGAAGCAAGAAGGATTTTGCAATATCAAATTTATAAGGAGAATGATATTAAGTAATATGAAAATCTGAATGCCTCTCAAAGGCTACAAATGGTCTTATTAATAGGTCTATTATACTAAATACATCCATTAGTGAATGGAACTTCAGAATACATATTCATAAAGTACTAATAGTTGATATATGGTCATAATGATTTAACAATGATTAATAATGGATAGTCATAATGTATTCTTAGATATGAATATGTGTTACGGTGAACTTACACTGCGTGCAACCACTTGAATCAAGAAATCTTATTTCATGGCTGTGTCATTGTATGTCGAAAATATGAGCACTCATTGGAAATGTACATGACAATCATGATGTTTGTCTTGAACTATAGTTTTATTTTCTTTGAAATTTTAGGACAGACAATCATGATGGAGTCAGTTCCTGATCTTCAGAGTTCAATGTACATGACACTTGATGGATATCCTTGTGTACGGCTACTCAATCTTTCTGGTGTGATTGGTTGTTCAAGTAAGTACGTTTTATTTTATTTTTAAAGGAAACATAATTTTATTAAAGTAGGAAAGCTAATTACAAAGAGTGGATAAGGAATCCACAATCTGGGATGGAACAAGTAACAACAACAAGAAACTACAACTAAAAAAAAATGTAAAATAGAACATGCTCTCTAAAGTATTATTTTGTTATCATAGTTCTGTCTAATTTTATATGTGACAGAACATCTTTATAATGAACCTCTGGTGAATTTTTCTTAGATCCTGGAAGAGTGAAGGTTGTCGCTCCAATTATAAGATTAAACAATGCTACTGAGCTGTCTCAGTTATCTGCAGTTTTGCTGTCAGTGGATGAAATTCAAAGTTTTCTTACCAGGTGTCTATATAAGCTTCCATATTTGTATTTATTGTATATTTTGTTTTCACTTTTTTAGGTCACTTATTTTGTATGCTTTGAACTATGTTATGCAGTAGTGTAGCTAATAACTAACAAATGATGATGGAAAGATAAACCTTTTTTTCTTTTTTCAAAGATGGCAACATATGTTTTTACGGATTAGAACTCATTCTTGTTAACATGTGTTTTTTTTTCTTTCCTTTTTTGTGTTCCATGGGCATTCTACATATCCTTGATAGTTACATGGATTGGTAAAATATGAGGGATTGAAAAAAAAAAAAAAAAAAAAAAAACATTTATTGAATGATTGAATAACCCACTTCATTCTTGTAGATTATATTTAAATGATAGTGGGCCTACTTTGGCTTGTTTTAGTGTGTCTTGAGAACTAAATAAATTTTGCTGAAAAATGTTTGTCTTGGTGGATGTTTTTATACATATATATATTCAATTGAAGAACGATCTTAGGAATAATTTTCTTGGTAATATATTAATAGCTCATACAAACAGCAATGTGTTGAGAAATGAGAAGTCGACCTAATTATAATTCCATCTTCTGTTATTAAAGAAACTACTGCTGTGTTTTGGCCATGGATCAAAATGTACTTCTGTGTTTTGGACTTGGTGGATTATTAAAGTAGAAGCTTTATGTTATTTTTATGTACTCTGTGTTCTTATTTTCATTATGTAATATGAGCTAGGGCTTGGATGCCCTAACAACCTAGACTTTTGATAATTAACTTGAGGATGATGCTTGTAGTAGTCTATTTGTTGTGTTTTCTGTAGTTCTTTGGACTAAGAAGTATTGCTTACTTGTAAGATATCTGGCCTGTTTCAGAATATTGAATGATTCGACTTTTGCTAAAAATGTTGCTGGTATCTTGGTTGAATCAAGCCCTGAGTTCCAAAGTAAGTTAAAAGGTAAAGATGCAGTTATATACTAGCCATTCTTTTTTCTGTTCAAATTTTTTCATTGAAACATTGCTACAAGTCGGTTGAATCAGGGCCTGAGTTCCGAAATAAGTTGAAAATGTGAACTTGCAGTCATCTATTTGTCATCTCTCTGTATTTTCTGAATTTCTATATATTTTTTTTCAATGAGGCTAAGGTAAGTTAACCTCAGCATCTTTATGGGTGTTGCTGACAGTGGCACTTCATCTTGTTTGTAGGATTCTCTCCAGATCAAAAGTTCCCACAATCTGAATTTGCTCCTTATCAAAGCATCAACTACGAATGGAACCCAATTGTAAGTTCTTTTATGTATTTGTTTTTATTTGTATCTGTATGCATATATATATATATATGCTGCTAACTAGTGCTGACCTTTTGCGAATGGAACCCAATTGTAAGTTCTTTTATGTATTTGTTTTTGTTTGTATCTGTATGCATGTATATATATATGCTGCTAACTAGTGCTTACCTTTTATTGTAAATATCTTAATGAATCGATAATGTGAAAAGTGATAACATATTGTACCAAATAAAGCGCTTGACTTGCTTAGATAAGCATAATGCTACTTGACAATCAATTCCAAGGATACAAGTATACTGTTTAAGCGAACAAACTTAGTCTTTTAACAAGTTTTTTTTTTTTTTTTCCAACTAAGTTATTGAGATTAGAGTAATAATTTTAGATCAGAGGATGTTCAATTTTTTACTTTTTTTTTCCTCTGACAAATTGAAGCATCAACTTTTTAAAATTTGCAGGGCTCTGGTATAATGTGGAACCCATATAACTTTCCTGTATTCTTACTCTCTCACAGTAGCACATTGACCCTGCAGGAGGTAATGCAAGAACTTAAAACTTTCCAGTACTATACGTAACCCTGGATATATGTTATAATAATTACTATGATATGCAAGACGGCTTCGCAGGGCTTTGCACTTATGATTATTCTAACAGACAGAGTATTATGGGTGTTTGACTTGTTACTTTGTTAGTTTTTAAAAAGTAGCACTAGTAACCTAAATAATCTTTTAAATCTCTATCAAATCAAAAGAGGAATTATTGTTGACCTATATGCATGATCTTTTAATTCTTTGTTTTGAAGGAGTGCTTTATCTACATGTGGAAAGATTTAATGGAGTGAAAGCTTTAATTAAAATACCATAGTAAATGTTTGTGCTTCATCTATATGCCTCTTGGTAATTTCAGAATATGAGGAGAGCTTCTTGCATCCTTAACAAATTACAAGAATGGTGCTTTATAGATTTTTTCTGATATATTGTGCACTGAAGAAATTATCAGCTGAAACAAGGGTGTATCCTTCCATCCTATAGATATTTTGGCAAGAAACAATTTTAGTAAGATCTAAAGGTTATTTTCCCAGTTTTCTTGAAATTTTAAGACATTTTGTATCGAAATCCATCGAACTGCGCAGAATACCGGTATTGCAGTGTCAAAAAGTATAGGTTGGTGCAGCAGAAAATGAAATCATGTGATGGTGCAATGAGATAATATATTATGCATTTTTTTCTGACTCAATGTAAAATAGCGAATCAGCTATGTAGGCAAAGCTTGGGTTCTTCGAAATGTGAATAAATACTTAATAAAATATGGGCAATGTAAGTAAAATGTAAAACTGGAATTAAATTGTGGGCTTATATTAAAGTGTGGATTCTTCAATTAAAGGTCTTAGTGTAAATTAAGTTTGTGATAAATATCAAATTAATTTGTTAAGTGTTACTCAGTGGTTTAATGTAAGTTAGATTTAATTAGTGTAACTAATGTAAGTTAGATTTAATTAGTGTAACTAATGTAAATTAACTTCACTTAGTTTGATTTAGATTTACTAGTGTTGCCTACTGTACATTAAGGTTGTAATTAATGTGAAATTAGTTATATCAGGTGTTAACTACTGCTAATTAATTAAACTAGTCTTTAGCATATAAAATGTTGTCAAATATTACAAATTCGTTGAACTAAAGATGTATGTATTTTTCTTACAAAGTTTTTCAAGGTCATAATTGTCATTGTTGTGCTCTTTATTCATCCACCTCATAGATTTGTAATTTATGCACAAAGTTTTTCAAGTTTATAAGTGTCACTGATGCACTATTAATAACATTTTACAAATTTTAAAGCAAAGATTTGTAATTTATGCACAAAGTTTTTCAAGTTTATAAGTGGCACTGATGCACTATTAATAACATTTTACAAATTTTAAAGCAATTTTTTTTTTTCTCATTCATTTTTAACCATACTTTCATCATTTTCCCTAAATCCAAACTAGCTATTTTCCACAACTTGGACATTTTAAATCTTGTGTGCACTTGATAACATTTTGACTACTTTTAGTGTCGGATTAATTTTTTTGTAAATTTTTGTTGGTATATTTATTTGTGCTGTCACTTATATTCAGGCTGCCATAAAGAATGAGAAGAACGTAAAATCTTATACAGCTGACGTGGCTGAGTTTGATCTGGTGATGCAGGTATAATCTGTTATTTCAGCGTGATTTTTTATCTGCCACATTTTAATTATTTTACCCCATGTGTGTTTGCTTAACCTAATATCATAAAATGACCTCTCATATGCTTGGCTTGGATCAGACAACGAAAGCTGGGACTCATGATTCAGAATCTTGTCTAAAGGAAAATACTTGCCTTCCCTTAGGTGGATACAGGTGAGTTTTCATGTGATCTGTTGTAGTAATGAATCAACTGAAGTCATGATCCAGTCAGTTTGCAGTTTATATAGTTGTTTTGTAGAGTATGCACATACATGTTTGTTTCAAATGATTTACCTCCTTTTGCAAGTACCATAAATGTTCTTATTTGTGCTTTTTTGGAATGGAAAATGGTCAACGATGTTGGTATTGAACCCACTTCAAGTTTATTCAAATTTTTATTCTTTATTAGAAAGATAGAGAAGAGGAAAATTTCTATCTTTATTTGCCCTTTGCATTTCTTAATTTGTGTGAAGTTTAATTTGGGCATCTTGATTATGAAGGGCAGTGTTTGGTCATCGCTTCCCCCAATCAATTTTTCATCATCAGAGCAGTCTAAGCCCATTATACTCGTGGTGGCGTCGATGGATTCAGCTTCATTTTTCCGTGACAAAGGCCTTGGCGCTGACTCCCCTATTTCTGTAAGCTTGTTTTTATTTCCTTAAAATGTTTTGGCTCCCTAAATGAACATACTCAATTATGTTTGGAACATTTCTTAGGGGCTGATTTCATTGCTGGCAGCAGTTGATGCACTTTCTCATGTGGATGGTCTGGATGACTTTAATAAACAGGTGTGTTATCCGATGGCTTATCCATGCATAAGACAACATTCTGTCAGTTTGTTCATATTGAAGACTTGTTAAATGTTATGGGGGAGAGAACAACAATGGATGATATGTCATATTTAACATGTAAACTAACCATAGCTGAGTGAAGTTTAGGCATGTGCATGGTCACTTGATTCAAGGCATGAACCAGACTATAATTTCTTGAGTTCAGCTCCACCAGAACTGAAGGTGCCTTCTGCATGAGCTGAATGCCCTATCACTTGGATTATTAGAAAAGGCATATTATGTCCGTTTCTCTTTTGTTGATATAACTGCTCCCTTCTCTTTAAGTGGTAGAAAGAAAAGTCATTTGCAAAAAGTCAGAGATTAACACTTATATGCTCCTGTTGTAAGATCCTTGAATAGTAGGAAGTATATATTTGCAGATCTCATTTAGGAGGCAACTCAGTCAAGGGAACCACTATTCTTGTTTGTTTCACCATTCAAAGTTTGGAGTCTTGCTGCATATTAAATGGGTAACAGCATAGTTCTGCTGTCTGCCCAAGTGCTCTATCTCATCACTAGTCATGTATTGTTCTTTATTTTATTTTATTTTGTTTTGGTAACATTTTTACGCATTCAGCTAACAAATCACAATATGTCCTTTGCTGATTGTTGGAATATTCTGTATTTGTTTCCTCAAGTGGCTTCTGTCCAGCTCAGATTACAACCTTGTAGGTAGCCCCAAGTATGCTTCCCTTGTTGACCACATTGTAGCTGTGAAATGGATTTATTACTATTCCCCAAACTATACCATTTTCTGAATTTTGGAATTTCTACCTGCAACAGCTTTCGCCTCCTAAATTACATCTGCTACAATCAGACCTCTTGTTCTTATATTAGTTTACATTTATCAGGGTTTTCAATGTGGCTCATCTTTATTTCAGTGAGGTTCGGTTTATTTTCACAAAAGTTCTTCCCGCATTTCTCCTGAAGCTTGCTATAAAATCGGACAAATCAGTCATGGAACGCAATTTATTTATGTGGAGATTTTGTTGACCTTGAGAATCCAGTCTTAGTCTTAATTAAATGTTGCTTATGGTTTACTCTAAGCGTGTAGTGCTCTTTTATTGGACTTTTAGTGTCATAATAAACTATTGAGGGAGCCATATAAAAAATAAATTATCAAGGGGCCAACGGGGTCTAGTCCAGTGGAAAAGGGCATTAACTTGCAGACTAGACTCATGTTCGAACCCCCATGGCATCATAGTTGTGTGTGAGAGAGAAATCGTCCACCCCTATAATTTAGACTATCACTTGTACTATAAAAAATTAAAAAACTTATCAAGGGAGAAATGATTGTGTGGTTAATGTTAGACTCTCCATGTTGTTATTTACTTATGTGTTTATGCATAAAGAGTTTTGTTGTCTTAGTGGTCTTCTCTTGTATACTTGGCTTGCCGTCTCTTTATTTTTAAATATTTTTTCTACTAATGCTTAGTTATTACCAATATGAAAAATAAATTTTAAAGGACTATGCATTAATTTAATTTTTAGGGGCATATAACATAAAGGGTGTAGTTAGAATGTATGTTTGTGTGCATTCATTTATCTTAAACAATTTTGTTTTGTTCTTAGATTTTTGGTAACCATCTATTGCTGCTGACTGCTGTGCATGTGGAATTGTAGTTTTCATGATCTTAAATTTTAATGCAGCTTGTTTTCATTGTTTTCACTGGAGAGGCCTGGGGCTACCTTGGTAGCAGGAGGTTTTTGCTTGAACTTGATCTGCAGTCTGATGCTGTTAGTGGCCTTAATTACTCATTGATTGAGAAGGTATACTTGTGCTCTTGCTATAATTGAAGTCATCTACTGTAATCCGAAGGTTTCTTATGGTAATGTTGCTCAATTAGTTAAACGTCACAAAGCCACTCTCCTGACATTACAAAATTACTAGTTACAAGACTGTCCAGACACAGAATCATCAAACACATTGGTTAGAAGAGGATTTGAGTTTTCCAGTCCCCTCCCTCCATTTCTCTTCGGGGAGAAATACAGTTATTTTTGTCATGTATGATATGTCATTTCGCTTTCATAATGTGACACATGTTATGCAAGTTTGAGTTTTATGTCAAGTTATTAAGTTTAATTTCTTGTAATTCACTTGGCTCTTTCACATTATGCGTCAGTAAATCTTTCGAGAACCTAACTATTTGGTAATTGGATGATTGAGTGTAGGTTGTGGAAATTGGATCTGTTGGAAAGGGCCTCAACCAAGGAGTTAAGAACTTTTTTGTTCATACAACTGGGGTGAGAAATTTGTTCCCTAAAATTTAAATTTTATGCATATCCTTGTAACTTGCATTTCATATGGTTAAGTGGAGAAGTGGTAAGTTGCATTTCACATGCTTAATTGCAGAATTAAAAAAAGTTCCCTCCCAAAATTGTGCTTACGCTGAAAATTCAGTACCTCCCCATATACATGGCTCAAAGTTGAATACTCGGTTGATCAACCCTTACCGTTACTGCATGATCATATCATAATAGAAATAAATATACTCTTTGTTCTCTTCATTGTTTTAAATAATTTCCATTTCCACCATCGGATCACCAATCATTCGTCATTGATGCAAAAATAACCAAATACAAAATTCACCCTCTATGAAACCTTCAGTAGAAGAAGCTCTTGTGAAGATCAAATAAAGAATCATTCTTCCTTATTATCATCAAAGGGCATTTGCATTCAAAATGGTTATATTTTCTAAGGTGTTATTTTTTAGGTTTCTTCTGCCACAAATGAGACATTGGATGCTTTAAAGCGTGCCCAAGATTCAGTCAAGTCTGAAAGCTTTACAATCTCATCTGCAAATGCTTCAAATCCTGGGATACCTCCATCCTCATTGATGACTTTTCTGAGAAAGGTTTGTAACAGTACAGTTGAAATCCTTACTTTTGTTAGCTACTTCCTAATTTATGTCTCTGTTATTTTGTTCTTGCTCATGTAAGGGCATAACCTCTCGTCTTGTAAGGGGTGCTTTTGATAGACTGGATTAAAGTCGTGTTTTGGACTAGTCCCACTTTTAAGACTTCCTTGGACACATGACCATGAATCTTACAAGAAAACATTTGCATATATATTTAAATTTGGAAAATAATATGCAGTCCACTGAATACATGACAGTACTATGTCGATGGGCCAGAAACCACACCAAACACAGGACAATACTAAGTTCAATCCAGTTTTGCGCAATTAACCTATAATGTAAACATCTGGAGCTCCCCCTTGTGGAAGTCTCATTTTCTTGAAT